CTCTAAACTCATGAGGCGAATTGCCGGAGTTTACAGGGTTTTCTCTGCACAGAGAACTCGCGTTGGAATGTCTACAATACACGGCGGAGAGATAAAAATTACCTAATACCATAAATTCTTCAGGCAATATGAAAGAGTTGTTTTATCATTATAACATTGAAAAGTAATAAATGAACAGGTAAAGAAATACATTTATCTGAAAAGTTTCCAAAGTCCATACCATAACAAAACGTCGCTAGAAGTATAATTATATAGGAAGGATACCAGGTGTTGGGTGGGACTGGAAGCCACGTAAGTCTCAGGACTTCCACGCTGACACACACACTTGTGATGTAGTAAATACTGTGTGCTTGGCTCTATGTTGCATCATTAACAGGTACAACACACTTCCAAATACAAAATATAAATAACAGGATGAAGGCAACAGCACTCATTGGCCACACTGAAGAATCCTGAGATCAATTGGATAATGCTCTACCGCCACACTTAAAGGAAGTACGTAGAACACGGCTAAGGTTCTACAGGTAATATGGAGTGTGTTAAAATTGTTGTGAACATGGTTTTTTAGTTTTCATTTGTGTCTGTTGTGTAGATGTCATGAACTGAACAGTTTGGTTTAACCTCTAATGTATATCAAAATTTTTTATTTGTATATGTTTTGGGTATGGGATAAAGTCAACACTCATATGAATCATGCAAAACTTCTGGAAAATGAATTTAAGTCATGGACTAAAGTTAAAAGACTGAAAAGTAAGTCCATTCAAGAATCGGTAGCTAGACTTCAAACATTAACATGGTGCTTATTAATCTAAGACAAAACATAACTGTTACCAGATAAGATATACGTCATCGTATTGCAGTATTATATAGAGGTCGCACTACAACTGGAATTTCTCCCTTACAATTTTGATGAGAGTATCATTACAGAAATGCAAAGCTTTGGTTGGGGAACTCTTGTATTGGGGGAAAGTTTGAGAGTTGGCCCAGATGCCATCTTGGACGGCAGCTCTCAGCTATAAAAAGATTTGGTTTAGCTGGGACAGTGCATGTGTGCGTTGTTCCCTTTTGTATTCTCTTCTTGAAGTAGACATTGTTTTCCCATTCTCCTCCTCTCCTCCTTCCCCTTTCTCCTCTCCATGTTCACGGACTTCTCCATCAGGGAACCAGCCATTAAAACTCAATCAATTGCCACATCACACACACCACACTCCCAACAAGAGACTTGTCTCTTAATGTTCATCTCTGGCTTAATGCCAGCATCTCTCCCAGTCTCGCTCTCTGCCGGGCACTGTGTCCCATCTTCTCTCAATGGTTGATCCTGTGGCCTTGTGGCCCGGCACTTGGAATTTAGCTGTCATCCGGATGCAACCCTCTCTGCAAAACAGCGCACACACACACCCACCGGCGCGCGAACTCAGACACCACACAGATGGATTCCCTGTCAGACAGTTTGAGATCCCAATCAGGGACTGTTGGATGGTAGCTGCCCAGATGAGGGCTAAAGGCCATCAAGGGACCCCCAATCCACAATGCAATATCCCCTTCATCCTGACACAATGCACAGACTTATTTGTGTCTATGTATGCCAAAAGTTATACACATCACATAAAGCAAAAAAAGGCACACAATCCGCATGCACAGTCAACTCCAATAAACTGCACTCATTTTATACACCAATGGTATACATATGAATGCCATTAGCCGTGTGCTATATTTTAGAATTTAGACAAGTCTGCGTGTGTCTGCGCGCGCGCGCGGTTGCGTGCGTGCGTGCGTGCGTGTGTGTGTGTTTGTGTGTGGGTGCCCAGTAAGGCCGTTAGGCGCCATCAGGGTGGTCCACGACAATATCTATGGCTAAGCCCGAGTCCCACAGGAACTGGACTGGTGTCTACTCTGTTTCTAAGAGGATCAGCAGAGCCAGCAGAGAGCAAGAAAGGAAAAAGGACGAGTGACTGTCACAGGAATGACGGGGACAAAAAGTGAGTGACACAGATAAAGAAAGAGGGACAGGACACAAAAAAGGGAGAGTTATGAGACGGACAGGGAGGAAGGAGTGAAAAGAAAGGCCACGGTGTTGAGAGCAGACGGTTGGAGGGATGGCTGGAAGGGATGTCAGACAGGATGGAGGAGTGGGTCCCGGCGCATCCATGGGCAGCTCCTGGGATTGTAAGGAGGATTCATTCTGAATAATAGTATTTTTGGTTCCTTCGCTGATGTCGCAGAATGATTTCATCTTTCTAATATGTGCGACACACCCGAAATGCAGTACATTAAAGGAAAATATAACACATTAAAAATGTGTAGTTCACTAAATATCCCACGTATTTTATCGAGAGGCCAGTAGTTTGTCTGTCTGTTGTATTATTTGATTCAGCCTTTGGTTGACACACACAACCACACAGCGCACACACACACACACACACACAGGCACACACACCAGCACACACGCACACAACACACACACACACGACACACACACACATCACACACACACACACATCTACCACACTCGCACACACACACCACACACACACACACACAACACACAACACACACACACACACACACACACACACACACACCACACACACACCTAATACTCAGTCCAGGACCTAACAAATTATTTTTTGAAATAAAAATCTGTACAAACCACTTTATAAAGGGCACTGCAAAGAAAAACAGGACTAAAAACTAAAACACTTTAAGATTGACCATAACTTTTTGAGCTCTAAAGAGGCCTACAAGTTATTCCACCTCTTGAGTATAGTAACAGGAAAGAAGGAATGTCCCTTATCAGTGTTAATGGTTTATCTCATACAATATATGACGTTCCTAGAGGAAACAAATAATATGTTAAAAGCCAAACCCATCCGCATTTCAGGTAGTATAGGCTGCGTTGATTATTTTCACATTTAATTCAGTATTTTCTTGTATAATGATGGAGAGAGAAATAGCGCGCAATGTTATCTTTCTGTGACAGAAGGTTTGGACCGAATTTGTACGGCCTCTCTTTATCCCTTACCATGAACAACAACACTGAATTTCAAGTTCAGTTTTTAACCAGCACTAGCATGTCTCCAACCTGCCAATACGGTTTTATTTTCCCCAAAGTATCCTTCTGCTGGTTATCACTTGCCAAGTATGAGCTGTCAGGTAGATATCATTAATTAGACTGCTTGCTACTATTTACTTGTTGTTAGCTACTTCACTGGTTCACGAGCTCCTGATCAGTGCATTAGATAAAACATTCCACTGTATGCGGCGAGAAACGACGGGGCATTTATTTTCCTCGACCAACCTTTAAAGCAACTGGTAGCTATATGTAATGCTTATTAAGAGAGATCTTGAAGATTGATGCAATCCAAACCAGAGTGGCAGCGAATAATAACAATTACAAGCACAGGTGACACACTTAATGAAAAGCTGATGACTCAGTTCTTAACATGCGATTTAAAGCATATGCTTTAGTAACAATGTATGTCACGTTATAGTGTCTATAACGGCTGAGGAAATGCATCAAATTGTGATAACAAGCGGTACTTTGGTGAGATTAGACAGTTCACAGGCATGCATTTTTCAAATAAAAATCGTACTCATGAGCTGAATAGAACAGAAATGGTTGAAAGAAAAAAACAAATATGTTCATTTCACACACATTTCACAGTTATTTCCCAATACAAACTGTTTTCCTCTCTCAGGTTTCAACTCCACAACACAGACACACACCATATAGCTAGCTCTGCAAGGGACCAAACAGTACATAGAACACAACATGTCTTATCTACAAAAATGCAATACAAGGAAGTCGTTTGAAATTAGACTATGAAAAAATATTATTTGTGGGCTGTTTTTTCTATTGTTAACTCCTCTTCACTGTTTTCAAGTAATGTAAACGACCAATGGGCAGTCAACTCCTTTGTTCACTTTTACTGTAGTATTTAACATAAGATTTCTCGATTCATAATGTGTGTTTATTCCAAATCTGTCCTTTTCTTAAGATACACACTCTCCCCACATATCCTGTTCTCCCCTCTCCCTCTTTTAGACTTTTGCGATCTCATAATTAAGTGGCTTGTTAGTTAGACATAGGTTTGCTGTTAAATGAGTCTCAAGAATCCTTCTCTTCACTATCTAAAGAATTATGAAGGTGTGTGGTGTGTGTGTGTGTGGTGTGTGTGTGTGCGTGGTGCAGTGCAAGTGCGTTGCGTAGACGTGCGTGCGTTGCGTACCATGCTGCGAATGGATCTGGCCCTTCCTACATCCAGGACATGGTTAAACCGTACACCCCAGCACGTGCACTCCGCTCTGCATCAGCCAAACAGCTCGCTGCACCCGCACTGCGAGGGGGACCCAAGTTCCCATCAGCAAAAACTTGTGGGTTTGCTATCCTGGCTCCAAAATGGTGGAATGAGCTCCCCATTAAAATCAGGACAGCAGAAAGCTTACACATCTTCTTCAGACTGAAAACTCATCTCTTTAGACTCCACTTCGATCGATTGAATTACTAACAGAGCACTTATATACTAATAAAGGGCTGGCTTTCTAAAGCCAGTTGAGTAGCACTTGAAATGTTTGGCTCGCCTCTATGAAACCTGATGTACTTATATGATTCTGTTTTCTTCAAGGTTGTATCTTCCTGGTCGAATGCACTTATTGTAAGTTGCTTTGGATAAAAGCGTCAGCTAAATGCAATGTGATGTAATGTAATGAAAAGGATATAATTGTAAATTTAAATGTTAGTGGATGAAGACCAAAACAACCAATTAGTCCACTTAAAAAGGTAGATAGATCTACATTTGATTTAGATACCGTTTCTATCCAAAGGGACTTACAATAAGTGCAAGACAATATAACAACGTTAACTTGTGCTATTCTAAGATAAGCTATCTCTTCTTGTTAGCATTGGTAGCTTACAATAAGCCTTTATGATTATTGATCAATAGTTAGGCCTGTATAAATGTGATTCCTCAAATGTATGCACGACTACATCTCTCTTCTAGGCCCTTCACTGGTCCCACCAATGAAGTGACCATCATTCAGCAGATCAATGCCATGGCTGAGCAGCTAGAGCCCGCTGGCGAGTGCGTCAACGACTCCTTCATGGTGGCCGGCTACACTAACCCTGCTCACGTCAACCGCCAGAACGAGATCTGGTTCCTAGAGCGGCCCTGAGGGACGAGAGAAGATTAAGCATCATTCTTATCTGTGACCCTTGAGCCTCATAAAGACTCCCTTAACACTGCCGCAGCTCAGCTACAGCCTCAGGTGAGGTGCAACCCAGTGTTTAGTCGCCACCTCTACCTGAAACGACCACCAGCCCAGCACACTCCAGACCAGTTGGGGCCATAAAAAAAAAAAACTCAGCCCTTATTCTACCCTCAGTGAATTTTCCATGTTCATTTAGATAGATCCGTATTCCACCCATTAGACCTCAACCAAACCACTGCCATACCCTTCATGGACACAACACAGATATGAAAGTGCAGTATAGCACTCGCTCTTACATTGAGGTGGCAAATAACTTTTCCTAAGCACAGTGCCCTGTAGTTGAAATAGTTTTAACTCTTAAGCGCTGTGTGAACACATGCAACGGCCTGTCTTTCCACAGCGGAGGCAGGTTCCCAGAGGACATGCAGCCTTATCACGCTCCCTTTCTGTTAGTTGCACGGCTACAATGTCTTGTCATGTGGGCTGAAAGTCAATGCACAACAAACACAAACAGACGTGTTTCCCTGTCATTCTCTAGCTAGCTGAGGTGATTTCAACTCTATCACTGTTTATTTGCCGTTTCCTTTATCTCTTGACTACATGATTCACAACAATGTGATGCCAGTCACACTGATATGCTATATTGTTTTAGTAGTAAGTGCAATATATAAAAAAATAAAGTTATGAGAGTTGCTGAGGCACTTAACCTAACCCAATGTATGGTTCAATTAAGCCGCTGACAACACAACCACTTTAAATAAGCTCAACACAACAGGAAACACTAATGAAAACGCACACTATGTGTTTGTTTGAGCATGAATGTACAGCTATATGGAGGGTAACAACTAATGACACATTTCTATAAACCAAACACTGAAAAACTCACTGATTTTACAGCTGAATGACAATCAAAGTATTAATACATCCTTCTCTCGCAAGAAAATGATGCAAGTAAATGCGTTCCTTGTTTCAAATCTATTCACACATAAAATAGTTACTGTGTGCCTCTTATGCTCTTTCTACTTGCTACTATGTGTCAATGTTAGTGCAAACACCACTGCTGCTGAGTAGAGACAATGCAACTAAGAAAAGACGAGTGAAGAGAATATCTTTACTGCGATTATACACTTTATGTTACATAGAAGCTACATTCTGTTTTAGTTCAAACTGTTTAATGTTCTATCACCAATCTAATGAGAGTATATAAAGACGCAGTGAATTAAGTATATATATGTTTATCTTCAATATATTTGTAATTAAAAACTAATGCAATCCAACACAAAGTCATACACATCAAACCAGCTACACCTAGAGTTCACAGTAATATAGAAATGTTTCTGCTTAGGAACTTAACATTTAGTGCTTGGGTGCCAGTGAAATCAAACTGGAAGTGAACTAGCCAAATCATCACTGTGTGATTCACCAGGACAGGGGCATCCTACGAAATGCTTCTGCGGTCAGTTATTGAGGCCTAATAATTGTGTGTAAAATTAAAAAGTGAAATTCAGCTCAAATTGTGAGCAGGTTTGTTTCATTGTATTTAATCCACATAACAAAGATATTAAGAAAGTTAGTTTTGGGTTGGAAAGGTTGCCCAGTCTTAAAGTCAGGCAGTTTTGGTTGACATCAAGATATCCAAATCCAAATAATTGATTTTGCATTAAATGATTGTAGAGTTGACTTGCAAAGCCATTATTCATGTGCGTGGGGTTTCCCTTTAAGAGCCTGGTTATATGGGAACATCAAATGTGAGTTTTTCCTTTCTTTTTGCTTATTGTTTTAGTGTTTTGCAAAAGTGTCCTGTACTGTGAAAATTCAAGTGCAACAGCAAGAGCTACTGTGGTTTTCTTTGTTCAATAAAAACATACTTGTCTCCTGTCTTTTGAAATGTACAGTGACGGGGAGTTTCATTAGGCTCGTATACACAATACACAAGATCTGCATCATGCTGGGAGTATCACTGCAGAAATTAAGTAATATACAGAAGTACAGAGGAGTTCAGGATAAACCTCTAAATACATACAGTTAACTATTTATTTTCATGCTAATGTGACAACTGACCTAGTTAGTTTGATTAAGAAAACATCTTAGCTTCATACCAATACATACCAAGCAGCAAGTACTGTATACTTAATAGATAATGTGGGCTCTATGTAGGCAACAAACACACCTACTTTGTTCCGAAATATATAGCTTAACCTGTTTTGCAAAACAACTGGTGCTCAGTTACTGTAGCATAGTAACATGATGAGTTCTCACAAGAGGGTCACACACACACACACACACTATAGTATATCAGAGTGCAGACTAGTGCACAATACGGTGCAATGTTTGTATGGGATTTCTAACAAAGAACTGTTTGCAGCTGACTCCAAGGTACACAGGAAATAATCTAATAAATATGAAAACACAACTTATATGTTTAAACCGGACACGTGTTAAAGTACAGACTGCTCATGACAGATAGAATATTTTAAAGTAAATAAAACATATTTGTAAACAAATGACTTCCAATGTGTGTGGAATGCCACCAAAACAGAGTCCTATTACACCATAGGTTTCTATCTAGGTTGTAAAAAGGTATGACGGTAGATCAGGTCCGACTTGGACACCGTGGCCTAGATGTTCTCTGAGATTAGACACGTGGTCTACAAAAACCTCTATCCACGCTCAATTAAAACCACAATGCATGGACACAACAAATCATGAGGCCACTTTAAGTGTTATGAGGAATGGTCTCTCTCTAATGTCTGTATTAAAAATGGGCCAAAAGCTAAAAAGGAACAGCACAGACACTGAGCCCCAAAAAAACCTGTCTGCATGACTGGCTAATTTTTTTTGATTTGCTCAGCAATCATGAAATTCCGCTTGAATAACTCCAGTGGTGCTCATTTTACACCCGAGTGCAGCCATATCTGTATTTTGTGTCCTGTCTGATCAAATTAAGAGAGAGCAGGGGGAATTGGAGGTTAACCGGCGGGCTGCAGACGCCATCCCATCAGGGGGGGTAATATAAAGAGAAGGTGAACATTGAAAGTCAAAGCAATTACACATTAATCCAGACACTCTCTATTATTACAAAGATTCCAAAAAAGGATCAGAAATATGGGAATAAAAGGACCAAGAAGACCCAACAGAGCTTATGTACAACAGGTCGAAGCTCTCGAATGCAGGTGTCACATTCCAGCTGCCCAGCCAGTCGAGACAGATGAAGTGTAGCAGCACATTTACAGTACAGTAGACACTGACAGTAATACGAAGAGAGCCTGTAGGGTCCGTTAATAATCCAGAACCATTTAGTCCACCAGCGCTGGAGCCAGACCAATGAGTGGGGAAAGGATGTTGCTTTCATTACATTACATTTAGCTGACGCTTTTATCCAAAGCGACTTACAATAAGTGCATTCGACCAACAAAATACAACCTTGAAGAAAACAGAATCATATAAGTACATCAGGTTTCATAGAGCTAAAACATTTCAAGTGCTACTCAACTGGCTTTAGATAAGTATATAAGTTCTTAGTATATAAGTGCTTTGTTAATAATTCTATCGCTCGAAGTGGAGTCGAAAGAGATGAACTTTCAGGACAAATCAACCAATGTAATATTAAGCGACCCAGGATGAACCACAGAGCCAGAGGAAATATGTGCTGCTGAGAAAAGGATTAAGGCTCAAGTTCTTCTACAACAGAATCAAGCAAACAGCGACCACAAGGTGGCAGCAAAACACCAAGAAAAACTACAAATGTAAGATGCTATAATCTATATATCCATAAATCTATATTTCACTAAAAACAAAGGGGGAATATAAAACTAATGTTTAAATTAAAGTTGAAATGTTTTTGTGTTCTGGTGTGTTACTGTATACAACAGTCATGAATCCAGCAGTGACAATGAAGATTGATTAAAAATATAAATTTATAAAAAAGTAGTTTTGGTAACAACAAGAAAGAAATTCAGTCTTAGTGCTGCAATTGTATAAAAAAAGTGAGCTTCACGTTCTCTTAACCCTGACAGTTATGTCTGATGTTTATTTGTTAAGGGTTTGTACAGGAGTTCAAGTTGAGCGCTTTCAATGCATTTTCTAGGTACCTTAACCAAAAGCGTACAAACTATAAAAGCCTTTATTATCGTATATATTATTGTAAATAGATACTATACATGTAAATGTAATTCAGGAAAAAAAAAGTTTGTTTTGGCAGCTGTTCATATTAACTTTGATTGAATGTTTTATGAGCTCTGCTTCGCTCCACATCTGGTGTGAGACGCCAGGAGACAACCAACAATAATGACGATGGGATTGTTTCAATTAAATGTTTAAAGATTGTTGGCCTACATGAGTGTTGTGTAGTAGAAACACCAGTTTATGTTGCAAATCACACATATTTGAAGGAGAGCACTTGACTTGAAATCAAACATATTCTGAGCAATTTGTAGGAAAAATTAAAAGCATTAAAGAAAAGGAGAAGTTTTGTTAAAATGCTTGTGCCTACCTGCAGGTAGCGCGCCTGGTGAGCAGAAAGAGCCTCTCCCAGGGGAACCACCACTTTCTCCACACTGCGCTGGTGGGAATGGGCCTGGATGTCTGGGCTCTCTTCTGAACGCAGCTCAATGTGGGAGATGAGCAAATTAGAGATCACTGCTTGCACCGCCTGCAGGGAGAGGGAAGGTGGAATCAGATAAGGAAATAGTTAAATAGAGATTTTTGTTATGAGGTCACATTAGGCTAGAGAGAAAAAAGGGATAACAGATATAGGATATTGTTCTTACCTTTGTATCTCCACCTGGGGTTGCACTTAGGGCCAGGATACGGAATTGCAGAGTCTGACTGCCGAGCTGTCTGATCACCTGAGTAACAGGAAAATGAGCCGATGTAAAACATTGTGAGAATTGTATTGCCATAGTCTCAAGTATATTCATTTTCTTTAATGTTAGACAAATTACAGCGAATGAATGAACTAGTATAAAGATCATGGTACTTCGTTACATTAAAGCACGGCCTGCTTTTGATTTTGTCACATTGCCGACAGTAGTTTGATATTACAGCAACAATTGTGAATAAAGTTTCATACTGCTGCAGCAGTCAGCAGTGACACAACACTGAATGGAATGACAAGCTGTGATAATTAGTGAACAGTTTGTGTACCTGACAGTAGGCATGGTTGCCCAGCGCCTTGTGGGCTTCATCGATCACCACACACTTGATCTGCTGGGCCGGGCAGGTGTCTCTGGACAGATCGTTCACCATCACCTGAGGGGTGAGGAAGAAGATACGCTTGTTCCTCCACACCTCCTGTCTGTTCTTTGCTGCTGTGCTGCCTGCAGAAAAAGGAGATGGACTGATTGTTGGTAAAGTATAACAAAAGAAAGATGGGAGCCACAGCCTGTGTGTCATGATTGTTACCTGTCAGCTCAGCCATGTGTGCCTGTGGGATCCCCATCACTTTGTAACAGGCCTCGATCTGCTGAGCCACCAGAGGTTTGGTGGGAGCCATGAATACAATCTTCCCTGATGGATACCAGCGGTAGAAGTTGTACATAACCACAGCGGCTATAAATGTCTTTCCCAGACCAGTGGGAAGACACACCAGTGTGTTCTGAAACAGAGCTGCCTCTGATATCTTCAGCTGGTACTCCCTGAGGGGGTAGTTGGTGGGGTAAATCCATACCTTAGCCGAGGAGCTGTCAAAGCCAGGGAAGTCTGGATAAGTCTGCGCACCTGAGGGGACGGGAGAGAGAGCAGTGCTCTCTGCTGCTACAGGGTTGTCATATTGAAAAGAGTTCCCATTTTCAAGTTGCAGGCTCTTCTCAGCTTCATAAACAGCGACCACCATCAAATCATCGTCATCAAAATCATCTTCATATGCAGGTTTAGGGTCCTCTGTCCTCCTCACTTGGTTTTCTGTTGTGTATGAACACCCCTGCCCTATTTGAGCCCATAGTGGATTGAGAGGAGGATATGTTGTAGCTACCTGAGCAGTGTTCCTTGGGGTTGTTTTGCGCCGTCCAGCAGCTTTCTTGACATCCTGTTTCGGTGGAACAACTTTGTTTTTGGAGACGGATGCACCCCAAGTCTGGAACAATGTCTTCTGATTTGAACCACTACTCATTTTCTTTAGTTAAGGGGAAAAACTTAAAGAAAATGTGCCATGTGACGAGCAGCAACATTGCTAACTGAATACTGGCTGGTACATAAACACAGGGTCACTTCCGCCAACGTTTTACCATAATATAACACCACATACATGACAACGGCTTTACTCCAATCATTTAGGTCGATTACATATAAACACAAGTGTAAAAAGTAATTCCCTGTATTGTCAAGACGACAATATATATTTTTTAAGAACTTAACCGACACACGTTTGGTTGCAAATAAGAAGGAGGCTTTTATTTTGTCAGTGTGACACCGGAAACAAATTAAAAGTTTGAGTTCATCTCCCGCTCTCCGTCATGTAACCATAGTAATGGACAGAAGCGAATGGGAGCATATACTCACCTGTTTTCAGGTAATTATGTTATCTTATTAGCCTACTTCAAACCCGTACAGCCCCACGAAGTGTTTTATACCTACACTAATTCCATTCAGGTGTTTATTTGAGCTATGTTGGGCTTTTTACCTTCTAACTCCAGAAACGGTGCTAATAGTAGCTATTGTTTTTAGCATTTCGCTACTAAAGTAAGTGTTGCAGTTAGCTTGAGGCTACATGTGACATGTTCCTATAGTTACTGTGAATTATTCTCTTCGGTAGGCATCTGCACGTAGATACCTGGTAAGAAATGAAATCCGTAGTGCACGAGAGGACTTTGAGGATATCGTTAAGGAGATTGATGGAGGTTTGACCCATTTACAGTGGAGGGAGACAATCATCCCCATTCCCCACTTCACAGACACTGTAAGTAACTAAATCGGATGTGAGAGTTTACGTTAATCGTTTGAAATCGGTGCTTATTCAAATCATTTACTTACAAAAGTACGAATACCACTCTATTACTAGTAGAAATGTTGAAAATGTTACTTCACTATATGAAAATCTATTTAAATTATTAAAAGTACTTCTATACATTTAGAAACATGTATCCTGTGACTATTAATCTATAATATATTATAACGATTATTATTACTTTAAATGTATTACTATTTTTCATTTCATTTCAAACCTTTATTTATCCAGGTGTATCCAATTGAGATCATTGATCTCTTTTTCAAGGGAGACCTGCTCAAGTAGGTTCCACATGAAACAAACAGAACAACAAAAAGGACATCATACAGCATCATTACAGGGTTTACAATTTACATAACAATTTACATAACTATCCTCATGTGCAGGTACCAACAGCTTCCGATTGAGTAGCATCCAACCGAGCTTTAAAAACATTTAGTGGCACCAGATTGCTCAGTTTCCATTTAAATTGCAGACTATTCCATGACAGTGGAGCTGCGCATCTAAATGCTATCTTCCCTAAGACAGTCCTAGCAGTTGGCACATTTAATAAAACTACAGCATGCGATCTCAGGCAGTAGCCACTTACAATTCGCCGTGAGATCAGGGAGCAGATGTAGGATGGAAGTTTCCCTAACATGGCTTTGTATATGAAAATGTACCAGTGACTGATCCTCCGTACAGTTAGCGAAGGCAAACCAGCCCTTGCATACAGGGTACAGTGATGGCGGGTTAATGCTTTACAGTTTGTCACAAATCTCAGCGCGCTGTGATACACAGCATCTAACTTGGCCAGGCAATTGGCAGGTGCATTCCTATAAATCAAGTCACCATAGTCCAGCACAGGTAAAAAGGTCACAGTGACTAGCCTTTTCCTGGCCTCAAGCGAGAAACAGGACTTCCTGTAGAACAGGGGTGGGGAACCTCTGGCCCCCGGGCCGTATACGGCCCGCGAGACCATTTGGTACGGCCCTCGAGGTAATTTATAAACACACGCAAAAAACTAAAATGTGCAAGAAATCTCAGTAGGGCCTGGCTCATTTCGTGGCATCTGCAGGCAGTGACAAGTACTTCCGGCATCTGCCACAGAGGCCGCTACTCCGTGGTATCTGTGGCAAGTATATGCCACAGATGCCACAACTTGCCGTGGCAAGTATATGCCACAACTTATATGCCACAACTTGCCGTGGCAAGTATATGCCACAACTTGCCGTGACAAGTAAATGCCACAACTTGCCGTGGCAAGTAAATGCCACAAGTTAAGAGTTAAGACAAGGTTTACGGTAGCTGCCACTCGCCTTCCGTAGCAAATGCTGATATTTAAACCCGTATTTATCGCGTAAAATGTCGCTGTTTTGGCATGACTTTATCGGACTGATCTGTACACAAGACTGATGATCTGTTACTGATGGTCTGATCTCTATTTTTCAAAAAGATTAAACATTATATGTTCTATAGATTTTACTTGGAGAACGTGGTTTGTTAAAATAAATAAACGTGCTATTTTTATGATAATACTCAAGATATATTATTAGTAAATTGACATAAAGATCTAACATTGTTGACCAGAGGTGGGAAATAGGCTAACTTGTATACTCAAGTACTGGACTTGTGATTTAGAAATAGCCTACTTGTGCTTTAGTTGAGTATGTAAATGGTATGTTACGTAGTAGGCTTACCCCAC